GTTTTTAAGATAAAATAATAAAAAGAGATTATAAATAGTAATATACAAATTAAAAGTGAGGTGGACATTATTGGGAAAAGGCTCAAAATGTGGGATTTTTCATGGAAACCATCCTAGAACATATAGGCGTTAATTCGAAGTAATAGTGACATAAATCACAAGATCGTAGGCCGTGTTCGATGGACAAATCCTGGTTGCTCCATGTTAAATGATATAATAATTTTTAAAATTCCTTATATCACTAATGCTTGAAATTGTTTGAAAAGCTAGTAATGCATTGGGTATCAGGAAGTTTCGTTCAAATTGACGATGGGTAGAAATGTAGGACATCCACACGTCAATTCAAGGGACAGGATGGCTCCATGTAATCCAACAAAATTAAGTAACCATTCTTTCAAGTTAATTTTCTATCACAATCAACGCCACTATCAGGCGCTGCCATTTGCATCATAAATTGCACTTTGACTAGTTAAACTATAGACTGCTATTTCCTATCGATACGCCATTCTCTTTGTCGAATGTCATTTTCCTTGGCGTATACTAAGGAGATATCTTACTATCGTAGGTACAAAATATATTTCCAATCGTCATGAAAGAATACGTGGTGGGGTCCCTAGCATCTTCCACTATACATTATAATTAAATTATCTAAAAGTTTACACACATGATACAAACCAAAAATATTCGCTCCCTTTAGACTAAGAATCCTCCCGTTAAATTGATTTAGCAGTGTTCCACACAAGTTGATGACCAAAACCAAGTTTCTAGTGTTGTTCATTGGCTTTATTCATGCAAATTATTTGCTTAAGAGTGATGCATATTACTGATATATATATATATATATATATATATATATATATATATATATATATATATATATCTCACCCTGGCTTACCTCTTCTGCCAAAGACGCTTCTGATTGAAATTTCTGACTTGTTATACCGTGAGTGTTCTTCTCAATCAAAAGCCTGCCAGACCAGCAACAATATGTGAGATAAGTGGATCCAAGAAGCATGGCTACCATTATCTAGAGCATAAAAGTTCCTGCGGGAGAATGCATCACACACACCTCAAAGCCCAGTGGGTCAGATCAAGGTTCGCTTGAACTCAATGTCTTGATAATTCATGCTTATCAATCACATCAAAGATTTTATAATGAAACATATTAACTCGTTTAATAGTGAGGCGAAACAAGATAAAGATCATTCACATGATGCATTTGTCATAAGAAGAAACTCCTGACTCGTGCAAGCAACTAGTTTCTTGCATTATGAAACTAGTTTTAGGAAGTTTTTGTAGTATAGCTCGTGTGCTAAGATATATTAACATCATCAAGTTCGAGTTGGGCTACCGTCATATTGATTGCATTGATCACATCCATCTTTCCTCTGCTCACAGCTTCATCCATTGGAGTCCTCTCATGGCTGCCAAACGGCCATGGAAGCAAGCAAAAGCAACATTGTGAAAGAACCAAAGTAGATTCCAGGTCAATCTCTCTATAAAAGAATGTATTTCTAGAAGGTGGCACTAAATTTACCTGTTTAGCAAACTTACGCTAGCTCCCCCCTGGATCAAAAGTTTGACTACCTGGTGGGGTTTTTTTTTTTGGTTTCATTTACAAAATGTTATTGATCAGTGGTCAACAATAATAAACTAGAAAGATCAATAATCACCAAATAGGAATCCCTTACCTCTATGTGTCCATTGAGGCAAGCCCAATGAAGTGGTGAATTCTTTTCAGAGTTCAAAGCATTCAAATCCTGCTTCATGGAGGCATCCTCATTAAAAAAGAAAAAAGAAAGAAGCATGCCATCAAGCTCCAAAAGAAATAGGCATTACAATTCTGAACAAATTGGTGCCCATGTTTGTGTGTAAACTTAATGTTAAATACTTGACAGATTGTAATTGACCAATAGTTTATTCATCCTAGATCTAATCAAACATGGTAAGTGACAGCAATAGCAAACTCTAATAATGCTAATTGAGCCAAAACCTTCATAGTTCAAACATAGTGACTAAGAAAACGTGATATCGAAATAAGCTCTCGCATTTACTATCCAAATAAGCTCCCACAATGTGATATCCAAATAATGCTAATAAGCTCTCACAACTACGTGATAAGGCATTCATGCATCATCTTCAGTAATAAGCAAAATGATGAATTTTTTACTAGAGATTTTTAATAGAATGAAAAAAGATGATTGGGACTCATAATTTAATTGAAGAAATGAAATTAAAAAAAAAACAGAGAACTCGTAGCTGCTGAATATTAACATACTACTCAAAAAGATAAAGATTACTTTTTAAAATAAATAAAGACAGCAGTCAACATTAGTAGTGACAAGTTTATTAGTTATGGTAATTCGTAATCAGAAATTTCGGATACTACTACTCACTGCTCCGTTCTGAATAAGATATTCGACAATTTCAAGATGCCCATTAGCAGCGGCCATATGAAGAGCTGAAAATTCATTTTAGAGAAACAAAGTTACTCCAGGAGAACATCAAGCAGAACAGTACCAAGACAAGAAGTTTGATTTTCATAGCAATGAAACAAAATATTGAAGATGCCATATACAATGATGGAAGTCAAATATTAGGAAAACCAGAACCATGACTCTCACAATAGTGAAAAATTAGGAGTGAGGATCTTGACAAAAGGTACACATCATTTTTAACTAATCACCGAAAAATTTTATAGTCATCCATGGTCTATGTTCAGAAAAGGACTAAAATATGTGTCATAGAAGAACAATGGTTCAATTTTAGAGGGCCTGCAGAGAAATAGGAGAAAAATACATGAGATTTTCCATTTTAAATGGGCCCTATCCAAACTTATGCCACTCCCACAATTAACAAACCAATCAGAAATCAAGTTAGATTCAATGTATCTGTAACAAAATTTTACGACATAATCTAACATATTAAAGTTTTGTAGAGAGAAGTCAGACATAATCCAGTTTCAGCAGATTGGACTAGCAGATTAGCAGAGCTTCATGATGAGACTATAGCCTCTATGTACAAAACTGATTAATCATTGCAGATCTAAATAGGCAAACTTTGAAGCAGGAAATACCCATAAGAGTTGCTCAAGAAATATTACTGCAACCAAAAAGCCAGTGAGGAGAAACAAAGAAGTCGTCTGACTTAGCTCGAACCAACCAGGAGGATAAGAGAATCCCAACTAAACCATGGCAACTAGTGGCATAATTTCTCTTAGGATGAACCAAAGAGTCAATAAGACTAATTACAAAAAGCTAAAGCAGAATAGCACACAACAGGTAGAAAACACAACCATTGTGGAATATCCTTTCATTATGATCATCTATTCATTATTGATGTCATAAACAAAGCCCAAAGATATAGCAGCACAAATGATGCACTTGGTCTCAAAATTCTAGGAAGCCTTAGAGCATCAGTACAGGTGATGCACGGTGCAAGCTTGGATACCAACTCAATGCCTACAAGCAACAGATATTGTGACACTAAATCAATCTCTTTCAGATTTAACTATTTTCCTTTTATATGTAAGCTCTGATAAAAATTTAGATGTTTTGAGAATTTTTAGGTTGGGAACATTTGTATAGCATAACTTTTGAACTTCATGTTCGCAAATATATTAATGTAGTCATACTTGTGTATGTCTATCATGATTTTGCAAGATGCAACCACTTACAGATGGTCTATTTTCAGTTTTGTTTACAGGTCTCATTTCATTTTTTCTTCCCAAAAGACACATTTTTCTTCATTTCAAGTGAAGTAATGTAATGACCCATCTACTCTCACCTGGTATGAGTCCCCACATCTACCACCTCTCACCACTGATCTCTCTTGTTATTGACATGGTGCTCATCTGAGAACCCGGTTCTCATAACTTCCATCACAACTCTGTTTATCACATATTACTATTAAGATGCTCCACTGGACATGAGCTATGAAGTATTAACTAAAAGCTATTGCCAGTGATGTACTCTACCACTAAACATAAGCCTCATAATCCTTCATTCCTTTTCAGCATTGTTCTTACCTCGAGTATTGATTAGAATGAGGCTGAGAAGTGTATAATTTGCAATTCTAGGTATATGGAAAATACAGTCATATATGTAGAATTTATGGGGGCAAAAATCTAGCCAACACTAGACAAGTGCTTCACAAAATAATCCCCAAGAAAACTTCAACCTGAGAAAACTAAGATCTTCATACTATCTTCAACATATGGATAACATGTAAATATACATACACATGTGAAGAACATTGTCTATGTTTGGCAACATATTTACATTTTTAATATGCATTCGGAGTGAATCTACAGTTGTAAAATGCTTTGAGTGTTTGATAAACAATAGATGAAAACTGTATTTTAAATGTGAATTAGCATAAGTGTTGTTTGGTAAAATTGTATTTCAAAAGTCTATTAAATATTATATAACAAATTTACCCTTTTAATGTTTTTAATATCTATTCAAAAATGAATACATATTTTTTATTTAAATTAATAAGTAAATAAATAAATGAATGTATGTAATCTTACAAAAAAATTTGTATGACGAAACATATAATACATAAAAAATATAATCATATGAATAATGTAAAATAATTTTTGAAAATAAATAAATAAAGTTTCACCTTATAGACGACAAATCATGTTCGTTTGTCATTAAATCATGTTGACAATTTTCTGATTTTAAATAATATCACAGGGTACTTTGGAAATTTGAAGAATTACATTAGCATTCCACAAATACAGAAATGCTAATGCTATCCTAAGGTAGCATCCACATTTGAGCATTTACAATACAGTATCCAAACCAAATGTGATTTGAAAAAAATTTACCAAACATCAATTCACATTTGAAATATGCATTAGGCCCTCAATACATATTTCAAATGTGTTCCCAACCACACTCATTACATTCAAGCAACTTGAACACTACAACCGAAGTTGTTGATTGACTAATATTTGATGAGAAAATGTAGAATTTAATTATATGATTGTTTAAAACAACTTTATGTGATTCGAATTCTTATACAACTATTCTTTAGATTCTTATAAAATGTTGGCCTTTTAGAGGCAAAATAATACTTTATAGTTGTTTGACTGTTTAATTAGTAAATGAAGTTGGCTTAAATTCAAAAGTAAAAATAAACAGCTAACATAAGGAACATTGCATGAGAGCTGTAGTTAGAGTTTTGCAGTTTAAGGACAATCTGTCTTCAGGTTGTACTGCACCTCAATGTGCTTAGGTACAGAAGGAATTTAACCAAAATTACCTTCTTTTCTTAATCCTTTCACATTTCATTTATCATATTGAGTAGGATCCACTTCAAAAGATCAACCCATTTGATTATACCAAGATAATTTTACAATCCAAGATTATGGCAATTGAACAGAAGTGATATAGCAAAGAAGGCCAAACATATTTAATACTCTACAAATCTACAAATAAATGAATCAAGCTTACACACTGGTTCCTCGACTTTTTTGCCACAAAAATTGAACATTGGATGCTACTGGTAGATCTTTAAAGGAAGCAAGGCACACAATAAACTTGTAGGATCCATCTTAATAAATAAAAGAGCTGTTTGATGGCTCCAGTATCACGGATCAAGTGTTGTGCTATGTCGAGGTTTCGAGAGTAAACCTACAAGAACTGGATACATGTTCAATGAGGAGCCTTTTAGTCTTTCCTGCAGACTCATCCTAGAAAGCAACCAACCCCTCGGGCACCTGTGTATAATTGGTTCTCTAACCCACAGAGAGAACTTTTGGTTACTAAGTCTCTTTGAAATATGCCAATAGGTATATTTACATTTTGTAACATAGAAATTTATATCAAACAACTTTTATGTTCATGAACATAATCTTCAACTCCTACTAGTTATGGATAAAGAAAATGAACTAAGACCGTCGTTACCATCAATCACAAAAGTATAAACAGAAAGGTAAAGTCAACACTTTTCATATTAACCAATCAAAAACATTTTAAACTTGAATTAAAGATCACACCTGTTCTTCCTTGAGAATCTCTGGAATTAGGAGAAATGCCCACCGAAAGTATGCTTACCAAATCTTCCAAGTCATCATATCTAGCAGCCTGCTACAATAAAAAAAAAATGCTCTGTTAATTATCTTCTGCAGCAGAAACAAAGTGCCATCTTCCGCAAAAAGAAAGTAACTTACTAATAAACTCAACAAAGTGCTGACGACGATTAGAACAAAAGTATATATATCTTTAAGGTGAGAAAGATAAGAGCTATACAACTTCAAAAAACAAAATGACGGCAAGAATACATAGTTCCATATTAAGCACATGGTTAGTATCTTCAATTTGAATTGTTTTAACAAAAGATCTTATGACGCAATATATATTTATCAAGAAAACAGCCATGACAGAGTTAAAAGTCTGAAAAGTTAATATCAAACAGTACCAGATTGTTTGTTGTGAGATAATTGTTGTTAATATGCAATGACTAACTAAACATAAGATGAAAGCATAAAGATTTTGAGCTATCAAATGTTTATATGCCCAAATGCTTACATGAGATTTTTTGTTATATTACACCAGTGATTTCAATAAGCACTCGGGCGCTCACCTAGGCGCTCGGGCGAGGCGAGGCGAGGCCCGAGCGCCTCGCTTCATTTCCAGGTGGCGCGCTTCAAAGAGGTGCCGCCTGGGGGCTCGCCCGAGCCCAGGCACTGGGCGCTTCGGGCGAGCACCTAGCGCCTCGGACG